CGAATTCCTAACTTGCTTGCTGGCTACGGCTTGTAAACATACACTATACTTTCCCCTTTACTTCAATACAGCTGAGATCTAGATCCACTACAAACAAATTCTACCAAAAATCGCTAGCAAGTCCTTCTTCAGGTCCTCGGGGTCTGACACTGAAGTGCACCGTCCCGACCACCACCGGAGCCGCCGCTTCCCCCACATGAAGGTGCGTCGGCGAGCTAGGCTGTGATGGCGCGACGCCATCGCGCACACGATCAGATCACGCGGCCGCAAGCACACCACACTCTGGAGAAAATGCCTCACCATCACAGTCCTTGAAAGCGGCACATGCTTTCTCGCCGGCTTGCTTAGGTGACGGCGGGGTGCAGAGGGGGAAGTGGAGGTGGCGGCTAGGGTTGCCGTCACTACCCGAGTTGTCCGTGGGAGCATCCTTTTTTCTGCCTTTTTGCAGATTTCCCTGGGAGAAGAGATTTTGTGCAGCCTTTGACACTATTTCCCAAACCGCAAGCTAATGCTGAGTACTGGTTCAGCATATAAAATGGTGAGGGAAGTATAAACTACTCCATACTAATCTTTTAGCTTCTGCTGAGACCATATGTAACAAAAAACTTGATAATGTGCTAACAGTAGGAGTTGTGTGCCACTACCTATTGACTGGCATCCTATTGGTGCTCTCTGTTTAGTCCAGTAATACTGAGCTGATTCAACCTTTGAGCTATTGGCACAATTTTGATGTTTGCAGCTAATTCTTGCTGGTTGAATCATACTGAATATGTAAGATAAATTTGACCCTTTTTTGCATGAATGAATATTGCAATCCGGTTTAGCTAACAAAGTTGGTTGCTCTGTAGGTATCAAGACTTCAAGAGGTACCTTTTGGTGGCTGATATGGGAGATGGCTTGTTTTGTGTAGGTTCTTCGGTTGCCCGTGATGTGTGCTCCACAAGGAATATTTACCCTCTGGTGAAATGTGAGGCGAACTCGTAGGAAGTAACATGTTCTGGCTAGTGCCCAACCGTGTGAAGTGTGAATTAATCTCTCAAGCTGTGAACTTCAGTCTCTTACTTGATTTATGTAAGACACCATTCCAACTGTCGTCAAGACAGATTTAACCTGCTTGGATTAATGCATTGCCTTCGAAGCAAGCATTCTGATCTTGCATTGCATGCATTCTGTCTCTGCTTATGCCCTTGATGTTTCATTCCTTTGTGTGTTGATTTTGTATCTCAGAAATATGGCATTGCTGCTGGGTCCCATTTTTAATGTTTGAGTTTGCATCTATCCGGTCAGTTTTTCTTCTTCTTTTCTGAGATATGGTGAAGGCTTTGGTGAGTTGCCTGACGTACGAATTTGAATTCTTGTGTGTTGTGAGCCCGGACATATATGATGAATATTCTATCTAGTAGTATCTAGTACTGCATATGTTCCTAAATACTATATGACGTCTTGGCAGTTCAAATCATATATTTAAGAACAGAGGAAGTGCTTATAAAAGCATGAGTTTAGTGGATCCAAATGATCTGAGCCATCCAACCACTCATATCCAACGTCTCATGTTGTTTCAATGATGTATCGGTCACATCATCAATAATTTGGAAACATGTTAATTACATACTATATCATAATTTGGACACAATTGTTCCTGCCCCAGGTACTGTGCGTCGCTGGTGCAGGCCACCTGAAGACTTGATGAAATTCAACATCGTTCTGCGGAGGAACACAGGCATGGGAGGCTGGGGTTTTTGTGTCAGAGATTGCGATCGCTGAAGCAGGAACGGGGCGGCTTGCACATGCATGTAGCTGACGCTCACCATGCTGAGACGGTCGACAAAGGGTGTTTGGTTCGCTGCAGTGCATGTGGCTCGCACCCGCCATGCAAAAATTACTTGTTTGGTATACTGCATGGGCTTTTGAGCCTGGCCCGGTGGATGCAAAATTAGGCCTCTCATCCAGGCTGAGGGAAAGGAAAACTGCTTGGGTTTCCTGGGATGAAATGTCAAAGCCAGGCTGAGGGAAACGCAAGTTTCCTGCGTAGCTCGCGTGCAGGCTCGCTGCCTCGCTCGTTTTCCCTTCTTATCCCCTTTTATTGTCCAACGCCGCCGCCTAGACCTAGCGCCGCCGCCGTCCTCGTTCATCCCCCGCCAAGCTCCGCCGTCGTCCTCGACCAAGCTTCGCCGCCTCCATCCTCGACCAAACGGCGCCGCCGCCCTCGACCACGCAGCACCGCCGGATCTTGCTGCCTCGCGTGGCCGCACGCTGGATACTGGCGCCTCGCGCCGCCGCAGGACGGATCTCGCCATATGGAGCCGCCGCCACGCCTTCTCCAAGCGTCAACGTTGCCCTTGTCCAAGCTCTGCCGCTTCAAGTGTCGCAGTTCTTGACTGCCCTCGTCGAGCGCCGCTGCGACCCTTGTCCAAGCGTTGTTGCCGGCCTCGTCAAGCACCATCTACACCATCTGGAGTTCACCTCATACATCTATATTGTGCAAAGTTCACCAAACACCATCTAGGCTCATCCTTGCATCAGTCCAACCAGGCTACACTCACCCAGCATCCTCCATACGATGCAGCCTAAAACTACCCAGGGAACCAAACACGCCCAAACTGAAGACAATCGTTGCTGAGGGCCTATAACCATAGAAACTGACGCAGCAGTACTGAAGTTAGCAGTGACTTGAATTCGGCTCGGCGTGGTGTGATCTCATCTTCCGAGAAGCAAAACATCTTGTGCTTGCAAACCTCATTGATTTTCGTGTGCTGCATTGCAACCGGGGCCGTAATTCAGTGGCTCATCTTTTAGCTCTGGGTGGTGCCACGCTATATGGCATGGAAATGTACCTCACTCTGTATCAATAAAGCCCACCAATTTTTGTCTTAAAAATTTGTTCATGAGTTAACCCCTTGAGAAATGAAATACAGATACAGTGGATGTATGCGTGTGTCTTTTTTTATAGAGAAAATGAAGTGAATCTTGCACTGTAGAAATAGATAGAATCATCTCTTTTGACTATGGATGGATTGGATAATTTATCATCTTTGCACTGCACACTTGCAGGCATACAACCACACAAATGTTTCTTTTAGTCGCAATTTAGTTTATGCATTTCTTAATGAAATGAAACTATAAATCTTTTTAGAATCGGAATAAATACTTTTTTCCACTCGGGAAAATGAAGAAGGAATGCGTACTTTTTTTTGGGAGGATCTTTTTTCTTTCGAGCAAATTTTTTTAGGAGGATCTGGCTATACGGATGTGCGTGGTGGGCTTTCTTTCTCTTTTTTTTCTTTCGGAAATGGGCTTTCTTTCTCCTACTGTACCATCGTGGGCTTTCTCTCTGGAATTATGGGCTCCAGTATCACGACGCACCTCACTCCAGCATATCCAGGTTGAGCTGTGAGGAGAGAGATGACGGCCAGCCTCCGCCGCCGCCGCCGCTCGCCGGCTGCGGGGCCGCTGGAGGACGATGACCTGCTCTCCGAGATCCTCCTCCGCCTCCCCCCGCAGCCCTCCTCCCTCCCCCGCGCATCCCTCGTCTGCAAGCGCTGGCGCTGCCTCGCGAGTAAATTGCAAAAAACCACCACAATTAGGGACGCTAATTCATTAAACCGCCACCATTCAGTTTTTTTTTAAAAACCACCAACATTGTGGTGACAGTTTTCAAAAAACACTGATAGAGTGATTTGAGCCATTTGAGTGAATTTCTGACCGGTGGAGCCCACTGTCAAGTGCCACGTGGCTTAGATAAGGACGGTGCTCGTCACACGCCGTTAAAAAGTTTGACTCCACGTTAAACAGATGTAGGACCCACCCAGAAGTGTGTTTGCTCCTCTCTCGTTCTCGAGCATTTATACGAACACCTCCCGTGCGCCGTCGTCGACGACTCCATCACGGAGCTGGAGCTGCTCATCCAGGGGTCCGGGCAAAGGCGGCCCGGCAAATGGTGTTGGACCCGGCGCGAGGTGGCGGCGCAGCCATGACCGCAGCCGGCGAGTTGGCTGGCCGTGGCCGAGCCAGGCCACGCACGCGGCTCCGTCAGCAGCCGCGGCGAGCGCGGCGTGGAGCAGATACGAAAGGACGAGGGAAAGCGTGTGGGAGGAGCTGGAGGTGGATGGCCACAGCCGGCACGAGGTCGCCTTGCTCAGGAGCCGCCCGACGACGCCGGTGAGGTCGCGAAGTGGAGGAGCTGGATCCGGCGGGGTGGCGGGTGGCGAAGTGGAGGGAGGCTAGCAGAGCGGGAGGTCGCGTCGGATTTGTCGTCAGGACTGCGAGGGGGGCCGGGGCCCCTTGGATCCGTCGCCGGGCGGCACACCGGACGCGCCGCGCCGTGTGCATCGCCGCCGGGTCTGGCGCGGTGACGCGCTCCCTGCGCGGGAAGGGGACCCGCCCTCGAACGGCCAGGTAGCCCGTCTAGCTCCCTGTGGTCCGGCGGGGCGGCGGCGTCTGGCACAGTTGGTCGGGGCGGCGGCGGCTGGCACAGTGGATCGGGGCGGCAGCGGCGGCTGGCACAGTGGATCGGGAGGAGGAGAGATAACACACTGATATGTGGGGCCCCGTCTATTTTGACGGTCTACCAAACATCAGTCAAACGGTGTTTGTTTGGTTGCCACATCGTCACTTATGGTGGGACCCATCTGTCAGTTTTACCATCAGCAAGTGCTTATCTGAAGGATTAGTGTTTTTTTGAAAACTGTCACCATAATGTTGGTGATTTTTTGAAAAAATCTGAATGGTGGCGGTTTTGTGAATTAGGTCCCTAATTGTGGTGGTCTTTTGCAATTTACTCCTGCCTCGCCTCCGACCCCGGCTTCCGCCGCCGCTTCCGCATCCACCACCGTCGCAACCCTCCCCTCCTCGGCTGCTTCGTCACAGACCGGCACCGCCGCCGCCTCTCCTTTTTATCCACTCTGGAGGCCCCTAATCGTGTCCCCTCCGGCCGTCTCTCCTTGCAGCTCGGCAACGACGACCGCTTCAGGCTCCTCAACTGTCGCCATGGCCTCCTACTCATGTACATCGCGTCGTGGAAGCAGATCCTGGTTTGGGACCCCGTCACTGCCGACCAACACCGCCTAGCCGTTCCCCCGGGCTTCGACTTCAACTTCGTGCCGGTGATTCACCTGGTCTCCGGGGCGGTGGTTCGTGCTGCCGGAGCCGACCACTTCCAGGTGGTCCTGGTAGGCACAGACAAACAGCAACATAGAGGAGCAATCGCCTGCGTTTACTCGTCAGAAACCGGCCTATGGGGTAAAATCATCTCAACCCCGCTTCCACCGGAGGTTTATTCTGGGAGAAGTTCTCCATTCATCAGTTTCATGAGTGTGCCTTCCGTGCTGGTTGGGGATTCCATTTACTGGTTGATTGCCGGTTATTCATTAGTAATCCTTGAGTTTGATTTGCATAGGCAGAACCTAACTGTCATACGGTTGTCGGAGGATATGTTTGCCAAGAAAAATTGTCAATTCTTGATCATGCGGGCAGAGGGTGGCGGCCTTGGTTATCTCTTCCTTTCAAACTACAATGCTAAGTTATGGAAGAGGAAAAATGGGTATGATGGTGTTGCTTCATGGGTGTTGGAAAGAACTATTGAACTGGACAAGCTACTTTCCCTGAATCCAGAGGAGAAAGACTCCCCAATTATGCTTGGGATTGCTGAGCACAAGAATTTGGTGTTCATGTGGACAGTTACCGGCCTCTTCACGGTCCAGCTTGAGTCATTGGAGTTCAAGGAGAGTTTTGAAACCAACTGTTGGTATGGCCATCAACCATTCGAAGGTGTATATACCGCAGGTAATAGCATGCCTTTACATTGCTGGTATACAAAACCATGTTATTTTGGTACTTGGTTGATGGAATTCCAGTCACATCCGTTTGTGTTAAGCTAAGAATTTTAAGTACTGTTGTTTCGGTTATTCTTTTGCTGCTTGATGTTCTCTTCATCATATCGAAATTTTCTTCTCCATTGTTCTTTCCCCATGCTTGTGTGATGGCGTCTATCTAATTGTTGCAATCTGAAAAGATATTTGTTTGTGGTCAGTTCTGCTTATGTAGCCAGGATTGGAAAAATTCTTTGCATAATAATTGGACTAAGTTTGCCTATTGACATAATCTAAGTGTATGGTGGTTGTGCTAGGTAATGCTGCGGTGCATGTTTTTTCGTCTCAAGTTGAGAACATAACAGTTGGACGTTGAAGACGACTGCATAAATAATAATCTAGCTTGAAGTCTTGAACTGGCTAAAAATGTCAAATAGATATCTCAGTATGTATGCTTGGAAGCTTAAGGCTACATATGTTTCTGTCATCCATTCATAGTGTCATCTATGCTGATCTTGCTAATAACCATAGATCCGTAACAACGGCTTGGTTTAAACTTTACGTAGCAATCATTTTCTGTTATTTGTAGGAGAATCCCGCTGCGAGTCGCAAATCTAAATATGCCTCTTATTTTAATAAATTGAGTTTATTTCATCTTGTCAGGCTAATTTTTTGGAGACAATGTATATCTGAATAGACACAATTACATCAAAATTTATTAGTGTGAACCGTATTCTGTTTTGTTCTTTTGATTAGCCAATAGTCCGGGTGTGCATGTTCTTAATGTTTATGGTATTAATGAATATATATACTATTTTGGGGGATATTATTTCAATTTGAGAATTGGTGTGGTTTGTCTATTTACTTGTAATGTGATATCAACCCTGAGTTATTTGTTCTAGAGTTTGACCTCTGATTTATCTAAATATCTTCTTGATACCTTCTCATATTTGTATGCTTTCCACTGGAATGTCATTGGTTGTTTGATTGTTTCGCTTCCTATGCTTGTAGAAACAATCACTGGTGGTGGACATGATGGAGCTGCACTGTTGCTCAATACATAAGATGATTGTCTGGTTCAGTATGCTATTATGATGTATTTGTTGAGGAGGTAAGCTTGTCTTCTGCATGTATGTTGAGGTGTCTGAAATGTTCTTTCAAAAACCATATTGCTACCTGCTGGTAACAGAAAATAGAATGGGGGATCTCCGGCGGTCACAGCCTTACAGGGCATGAGGCCGCCCAAAAGCTACCAGCACAACTAACAGCAAAACAACACATTCAGCTCATCCAGCACTTAGCACCCAAAGGCAGCAACTACCATCTTGGTTCCATCTAACATCCTTGATCTGCCCCTGTGCATGTGTCCCAGCCTGAACTTCATGTGTCTTGAGCGCCAGTTCTTGAAGGATTGCAGGCTTCCATCTCCCTCCATCACAATCGCTTGTCGTCCGCCGCTTGAATACTTGTCCAATATTTCATAAACACACATGTAACAGACCAACTCAGCAGGGGAACAAATCCATTTCCACTGAAAACAATCCTTATTCCTAATTTTTCACTAAGCTCAGCACAAGGCTGCAACTCCCAACTATCTGAAAGTTAGCACTAACAGGTATATATTGAAGAATCCAGCAAAAACATTGAGAAGAAAGAAATCCAGGCCTAATCCTAGCCTCAACAGCCAAACTGACAGTACTCCACACATATGTTGCTGCAGAGCAGCCAAAGAACAAATGATGTACTGATATCTTGGGAACAAAACCTTTTCTTCATATTGTCCTTGGTGGCAATGGCAAATAAGCCAAAGCCAAATTTAAATCTTAAGATGTAACTAGGTTTCCAAAGCTACGTAAATGATCTATCAGGATCATATCCTGCCAATTGATCGAAATACTATTAACAGTAAAAACAGCAGATTTATTCCATTTCCACTTAGGAGCATCAGCACCATTCCCAATAGTGGAAAAATATCAGCTTATCTCTCAGTCGGTTGCATTGCTGTTGCCTGTTGGAGTGCTTAAACGAGTCATCTCCTGAATTTCAACTTCCAGCATCTCGGACCTATATCAGCAACAGGCATCCTGCTCATTGCAACTGATCCCTCAGACTCCCCACCTTCCTACTACTTGATATTTTTAGATTGTATAACTTTAATGGGTTTACAGTGTATGAATAGTACAACTTGGTTTGACTAATGTGCTTCTTTGCTGCAGGTTCTTCCATCTTAAGATGTAACCTACGCTGCGTAGGGTGCAGGAATGGGCTTCTTTGCTGCAGGTTCTTCCATTTTGTATGCTTGGACCCTACGTAGCACACGCACTGGTCAAGTGGGAAGTTGAATTGTAGTAGGAGTTAATTGTTGAATTTTCTAACTTCGCTCTGTTGTTATCTAATTTTGGACAAAATTGGTCAACTGGGATGATAAAGACAGAGTGGCTTAGCTGGATTAATCGTCGATGGTCTGTGCTTGCATTTGGTGTGTGTGCGTGTGTTTCTATCTTATTGAGTTCCATGCTGGGTCGGGTTGGGGTATTTGGGTGTCGAATTTATGATTAGAGTGTGTGTTTTTGGTGATTTTTTAATCTTATTTTGGTGCTTCATAACTGGTGATTCAACCAGGGCGAGGACAGCGGCACACTTTCTTTCTTTTCATTCTTTGAATGAGATGTGCTGAAGGGTTTGGCTAAGACTTTGAAATGAGTTTATGAGGTAGCTTTTGAAGAAATGAAAGGTTTCGCTTTTTCTTGGCAGAAACAGGATGAATAGCTTTGGTTATTGTGATCAGGACAGTGATAGGTATATAAACCAAAGATTGTACATCGGTACACGCCTTTGCTTTGTGATTTGCAGACTTGTGCAAACAAGCAAGCTGATGGGCAGGTGTTAAAAATTATGAAAAAGGGCTCTGGAATTGTGATGGACAGATTTCTCCTTTGTCAGCCCACGCGTTCCCTAACGAGATACTGGAGTATATAAGTATCGGCGGCGCAAGGCTAGGTTAGTGACGGGCAAAAAGGAAGACATACATAAGAACTGGGATGTTCATGCTGGTTCTGTTCTTGGTGCGTAAGAGGATTCATCGATGAACTGCCTATAAGAAGATTCAAGAACTTGAAAGGAAAGAAAAAAGAGGACAGGCATGACAAGTAAAAAAAAAGGAAAACATGGTCTCGCATCACCCAATAACGACGAAGCCGATCTGCCAAATGAAGAATCGTCGATACGTGGAACCAAAACAGGCCAAGTAGCAAACCAAACTGGATATCAAGGACTGTGCCCGGACTGGCCAAGCAGCGAAGAATGAGATATGTGGGAAATCTCACATGGAGGAAAAGGGGGAGGGGGGGCAAGGAGGAAGGGAAGGAGAAAAGGGTGACCCAAGACCGAGAGCAAGGGGAGAAGAAAACAGAAGTACCAGACCCAAAGAAGGGGAAGGGGGGAAAGTTCAAAAGAATCCATCGGGAGGAAGGGAGGAAGGCGGAGGTGAGCCAGGAGTTGGAGAAGAAGAGAGGGGCGGAGGAGATGGAGGTAGACGAGGTGGGTGCCCCAAAGAGGAGTAGGATGGAGAAGGTGGTCGAGTGGGAGAATCTTGGTGCTACAAGCAATGACGCGGGGTTGTCAAAGCAGTCCTGTGGTGCCCAATGAGACTTATTGCATGGAATTATCGGGGGTTGGGGAACGGCCCGGCAATTCAAGGCCTTCTGGATCTCCAGAAGAGGGAGGACCCCGATGTGTTGTTCTTGTCAGAGACCAAAATGGATCAACGACGCTTAGAATGGTTGAGATGGAAATTGAACATGACATGTATGGTGGCAAAGAATTCGGAGGGACAGAGTGGCGGTCTTGCTTTGTTTTGGAAGGAGGTGGATATTAGGGTGGTGGGTTTTATGTCGAAATACCACATTGATACGGAGATTACAGAGGAGCATGGTTTTAGATGGAGGTTTACGGGCATCTATGGTGAGCCAAAGATGGGGGAGAAGGGGAAGACATGGAAGCTCTTGCGGACACTCAAACACCAAAATAACAAGCCATGGCTGTGTGCGGGCGATTTCAATGAGGTCTTCCATGCATGGGAGAAGGAGGGGGGTGAGCCCAGGAGTCAAAACAGCCTGGACCAATTCAAGAGTGCTCTAGAGTTTTGTGAGCTAGGAGACCTGGGATTCATAGGAGATGCTTTTACGTGGCGTAACCATAGCCATACAACAGAGAAGTATATAGAGAGGCTTGACAGAGCTGTGGCAACGCAGGCATGGTGCGACCAATTCATGGCGTAATCGTGGTTAATGGCGAGCCGCGACACTCAGACCACATGCCTATGATAGTTGAAACAACGGGAGCAGCTGCGATCCGGCGAGAGACAAGTCACAATGCCAATCCTAGATTCGAAGCGAGGTGGTTGGAGGAGGAGGGCTATCACGACC